ATTCTTACGTAGAGAGCTGGCCGTCTCCAGAGATGTTTCTGAGAGTACCTTATTAGCCTCTTTAATCATCTTCTTACATAACTAAAAGAATAAACCTGTTTAAAGAACAAAAAAGATGCCAAATCACAATCAATACATTTTGTCTATATAGTTTTGCTATGTCTCTCTTTAGAGATTCACTGAATGAGTGAATATTGTGTTTTTAATATGTACTTTTTTGTTTATTTTGCCCAGAGACAAAGTAGTATAATTATGTTTCTTGAGTTTATGTCTTTTCTTCTTAATTCAATTATCAAGCCTTTGGAGGCAAGAGGATTTTTTCCTCTTTATATGCGTAATGGCAAAGATTGAGGCATGCAGTAATAATCTCTAAATGTAACTGAATTATTCAGAGCTTCTTATTTTATTTTTCAAAGAGAAAATCAAACTTAGGGCTATTTATAATCCTTCAGTGTGCTTATGAACTTAAGTGACATCTGCTGATATTAGAAGTTACCTTTAATCAGGGTGGGGTTCCATGATTAAAACACTAATTGTTGCTGATACACTGCTAATCAAGGATTAAATTACAATTCAGCAGAACAAATTTAGTCATCAAAAGAAACAGAAATGCCTGCAACATAAAAAGGAGACTATACCATTCAGCTGAACAGTTTATTTTGTAGCTTCATAATGGGTCCTTTGATCAGGTCTAGGGCAGAGATTCCCGTTCACTCTGCATCATGGCACACAGAGATAACGATAATGTAAAAGGCAAGGTTTTTCATGTCCACTTAAGTTTGGCCTAGCTGCTCTGTCGTGTGCATACCTAGTATTTTAGGAGTCTAGATGGGCATTTCTTGTGTTGACAACAATTCCAATTTCTTACCATTGAGATGCTGAATAGATACCATCACAGAAATGTTTGGGTGCTATGTCATAATTTTAGGAAAGAAAAGAAAAAATCTTATACTGACATACATGTCTTGTTTTTGTTGAATAGGTGATAGTAATGGAGAAACATACTCAAAATTCTCCATCTGTTGCTATACAGTAAACAGTAAAATTAAATAGTAAGTTTAAAATTTAACCTAAACTTGTTGAGACTCATTGTCACAGATGGCACGATTACCTTGTAAAGTTGTTTTCCTGTCTTAGCATGACTTATTTGATAGAGACCCAGGCAAAATAAAGATTAGAAAAAGTTTTCTGTGCTGTTGGCTCAGCAGAAATGGAGAGGTGATTTGTCATTATAAACCATATTGTTGATATTCAGAAAATTTTTTTTCCTTACTGAGAATATGAGTTGCCTAATGGTAGCATCTGTTGTTGGCCCAGTAGGCAGGCAATGGGCTGGAAGTGATGCCAGCTTGGATGCATGAACCCCTGGCAGCTCTTGAGTGGAGAGCTGGCCCAGGCACCCTCAGGGGGTTAATAGTTCAGGCTCTCCAGAACCAGAACATGAAAACAGTGGATTTCTTGTGTGTGTGTGTGTGTGTATGTAGCTTGTGGGATGCATGGACAGCAGGCACAGCTGTTCAGAAGCTACAAAGTACCTGCTGCCATGAACTTCATGATGGTTTATAAGGAGGGAGTTACTGAAAGATTTGAGCATTGCTCTATGTCACTTCAGGTCTCAGAAAGGGACTCCATTTATTTACTGACAGTAATACCAACAATTCCTGAAATTCAGTAAATTATATAACAAATATTAGAATGAATTATTTACATTAAAATGTATGCCTAACAAGCAATTTTGTAATGTATCTTTTTGTTTATATTGAGACTAAAAGAGAGCATATTTACTCATATGTTAATCTATTTTAGCATGCAAGGTGATAAATATAACATTGTCCCTTTGTATAAGCATGTGTAGATGAAATAGGATTATTCTATTCACATAAATATGACCATCGTTTTGTAAATTAAAATACCGCCTGTTTACCTCATGAATCAAAAAGTACAGGCTTAATTAATTTTTGTTAGTCCTGTGTGATGTTCCATTGTATAGCGTTGTGTATTTAGTCATTTCTCTATTGAAAAATATTTTTCAATTTTTAAACAATTGTTGCTTGCTTTTTGTCACCTTCAATATAATCAGTTTTCAATATACACTCTTGAGCTTATATTTTATATTCTAGCATTTTTATTTCTTTTGGAAAGTTTTCCCAAATAGAATTTCCTGATTATTTTCTGTTTTTGCACATCCTTGTCAAGACTAGTTATCAATTTGTGTTTTGTTTTCTTTTTTAATTTTGGCAAGCTGGTAAGTAAAATTATAATATCACTGTTATTTAATTAACGTTTCTGTATTATCTAATGGAGTTAAACCTATATTCGTATAGGTATTATCTATATAAATCAACTCTTCTGAGAGTTTCCTCGTCATGGGCTTTTTTAAAAAATTTCATTTTAGCCCTTTTTAAAAAAAATAAATTTATTTTTTTATTTATTTTTGACTGCGTTGGGTCTTCATTGCTGCCCACGGGCTTTCTCTAGTTGTGGAGAGCGGGGGCTACTCTTCGTTGCTTCATTTTATACAAACTATTTCTAAAGAATAATGTATACCACTTACTAGTTTAATGTATTACATATCTATTTTTTCTTTTGCTTTGTTTATGGTATATTTCTCCATGCAAATATATTATGTGTAATTTGTAGTTAAACTACTATTCCCCTTTATGACAACTCTATTCTCTGAATAGCTTAGAAACCCCCAGCCCCCCAATGTTATAGAAATATTCTCCTAAACATTTTTTGTTACTTATTTTAAAGATGTTTATATCTAATCTACAATTGACATGAAACTTATTTTTCTATATTTTTACAAGGTGAAGGGCTAATTTTCTTATTTCTCTTTGAGCAGCTACTCTTAACCACATCCTATATTTAATAACTTTTTATGTACCAAACTGAAATGATACCTTATCTTACACAATGCTATATACTATATTTGGATCATTTCCTAGACTCTCTATCCTGTTCAACTAATCCATCCATTTTTTTCTTAATACCATATCATTTAATACAGTCACTCATATTATAATTTAGTATCCTTTAAAGTAAGCACTTTCCATTTTTATTTTAATTTAAATTATCTTATAATATTCTGATTAGAATTATAATAAGTTTACATGAACATTTAAATAATTAAATCATGACTGATTTCTCTGTTAAGGACCTCTTACTTTATATTCATTCAATAAGATTTGATAACTATCTTTGTCTTCATATATATCCCATACTTTTCCGATTTAATTTATTCAGGGATATTTTACACATATTTTTCCATTTTTATTAAAATGTAATTTCCATTTGAAATTCAAAAAGATTCTTGCTAATGTATTAAAACTGTTGATTTCTGTATATGCAGCTAGTCTTCAGCCACATTAAAAATATCTAGTTCATCATGTTTGCAGAGAAGTCTTTTCTAAATTTATAATCATAGGGTCTTCCCTGGTGGCACAGTGGTTGAGAGTCCACCTGCCGATGCAGGGGACACGAGTTCGTGCCCCGGTCCAGGAAGATCCCACATGCCGTGGAGCTGCTAGGCCCGTGAGCCATCGCCGCTGAGCCTACACATCTAGCGCCTGTGCTCTGCAACGGGAGAGGCCACAATAGTGAGAGGCCTGTGTACCGCAAAAAAAAAAAAAAAAATTATAATCATAAAATGCAGTTAAATTTATTTTGCTAAACATTAATTTTCTTACCTTATTGCAACTGGCTAGAACCCCCAAAATAATACCAAAAATCTCTGGTGAGTTTTATTCTTGATTTTACTGAACCTGGATTTAGCAATTTATTATTTGGTATGCTATCTTTTGGAGAACTTTAGCTAATATTCTTTATAATATTTCATTGTTTTATCTATATTCTGATGCTACTGAGTTTTTAAGCTGGGAATAACTTGTATTTTTTTCTCTTCTATTGGTGTAAATATATTGAATAAACATTAGTATGTTTATAGATAATATTGTTACATGTGAAGTTTAGAAGTTACATGGATACTGCATGTATAGAATACTAATGTAAAGAAAGCACTAAGATGAGCAGGAATTTATATACAATTTAAAACAAAGATGTTTTGATTTTATCTCAGAATGATAAATCTCAAACAATTTAAGTTCTATAAAGCTTTTAGCCTTGTCAGATGGTCTATGTGTTGAGGAACAAAAGTACTTAGTTTGGAGTTATTTAAAACATTAAAAGCCACTATACGATTTAAAATAAATAAAGGTTTATAACCTCATCCCACAAAATAACTTTTAGGTTTTAAGTAATTTTACGAATTATTCTAGCTTCAACAAGTATTAGAAGATTCTCCATTATATTAAAGAATGTTGGAGAATTTTGTTAAGATTCTTAAACTTTGTTTCAGATTTGCTTCAAATTCTGAAAAGGTATTTTTGCATCAAATCTTCTTAAAAGGAATTCAATATTGCTGTCTCACTCTCTGTGACAAAATATTCATATATATATGTACATTAATATATTTTTTAAGTTTTAATTACCAATTCCACATTCTTTTAAAACTTTTAGTTTAAAACTTAAGTACTATGGAAGAATTTTCTCAGCAGAATGGAGATTTTCTCCATTAGTTATTTGACACCCAGTGTTCTGTCCTGTTTCAAAAATCCTTTCTTGAATTTTATATAACTCTTTTAAAAAATGAAGCTTCTAAAAGGCTACATTTTAAGACATTCTTCAATACAGCAGACATATATTAAAGTGTGAGCAATTTCTTTGAAAAAAATCAGACTCATTCAAACCATTCTGGTGATTCAAATGGATTGATACTCAGAGAATATAACTGTGTGGAGGATGTAGAATAGTTTTTGAACCAGTTATAAATATTTATAAATGAATTGTGAGGGAGATCTTTACGAAGAAAATGAAATGTGTTGCCATTGGCTAAATACCATTTTCTTTGTTAATTATAAATATTGAGGGTTCTGTAGGTTCATTCATGTTTAACCTAATCCCTGGATAAGCAAAATATATGACAAATCGTAGTTCTGAAATATTGAAAACACTGTGACATTTTTATTTTCCCTTAAGCATGAATTGTACATTAATAGGTAATTTTAAGAAAGAAATAATACAATTAAGCATTTAAATCATCTTTTCCTAAATCACATGTTTGGAATTTGGAATTAAAAAAACAAAAACAAGAGCAAAACCAAAATCATGGTTAGTCATGTTGTTGAAGTTTGCAATTACCCAAAGCAAAGAATTGTTTACTTTAAATCTTAACCTCCACATCCTGGTAGGCAGAGCAAAGTCAGTGTCTCACAGTCTGTCTTCACATTATTTTGTCTTTGCTCCCAAAAATCTTAACTCTGATTATGTGCTGTAGAAATAAAACAGATATAAAATCAGTTCAAAAACAACGCCCCAAGCCAGTGAAAACAAGTGGAACATTTTTTTTCCAGAGAGAACATTTAAAATGTTGCACTAAATCAACTAAATAATGTAAAGATAATAGCATATTGCTACTCTCATTTGCTACTCTAATTGTTCCACATTTATGGAGTTCTGCCCTGGGTAGTTTTAATAGCAGTTGTTAACCACTGTCATTAATCAGCAACCTTATTACAGTTCAAAATGGAATTGTAATTGAAACACTTGAACAAGTTAAAATTGACAATAAACTTACAGTCGGATAGGATTTGCTTAATGAACTTGATGTAATAAAATTTTAATTGTTGTTGAGCATTTACAGGATATATTGCCCAGAAGTTTTAAAATTTATAATTAACCCATAACAATTCAAGGGAGTAAGTTCATACCAGAAAGCAAAAGGCAAGTTACAATTAAACATAACGTTATTCCTAATTTTATGGAAATAGTAATGATTTTCCTCTTCCTGCAGTCTTCTACTCTTCTATTTTTTTTCTTCTTTTCTTGATAGGTGAATTTTTTTTTTTTTTTTTTTTGCTGCCTGTGAGATGTAATTTGTGTGGCAAGAAGAAATCTTGCTTAACTCCACATATCTTATTCACTGGCCACAATGTCTGAATATTTATGAGAATACATTATATCCAAATTTTTAGATCTTAGAGTCAAATGTATGGGATCTGTTTCTCCACACACCACATTCACGTTTAATACCTGTGGGCACCAGTATCTGTATCTATAAAATAGCAATAGCTATCTGTTTGTTGTGAGAATCAGAGTAGATGGTAAACATATAATAAATGTTACTTTATTATTATTTAAAGTTTGGAATTTCCACTTAAGTGATCTCATTTAATCTTTAAAATAAATTAAATCCGAGTAGGTATTTTCAGGTGATTGTCAAGAAACTAGCTGATTAACTGAATAGGACCCATATTAGGTACCTGGTGACCTAGCAGGATTGAGATGTAAGTTGTGAATAAAAAACCCCAATCTTTAGAGTATGAAACACAAGGTCTGACCATGCAGAGCACTGCAGAATTATTCTTGGTTAGCAGGGTGGAAAGTGAGGTTTGTAGTCCACAAAAGAATATAGAGTTGGGGGCTTCCCTGGTGGCGCAGTGTTTGAGAGTCCGCCTGCCGATGCAGGGGACGCGGGTTCGTGCCCTGGTCTGGGAAGATCCCACATGCCGCGGAGCGGCTGGGGCCGTGAGTCATGGCCGCTGAGCCTGCGCGTCCGGAGCCTGTGCTCCGCAACGGGAGAGGCCACAACAGTGAGAGGCCCGCGTACCGCAAAAAAAAAAAAAAAAAAGAATATAGAGTTGCTGAAAGTGAATCCAAAATGTCTGAAAAGAAGGTAGATATTGAAAGCTGTTCATTCATTCCTTATTTAGCAATGTCCCCCACCCCCTTCCTAGAAACTCAGCTGACTTTAAAAATGTGGGAAACATGCCTTGTTTGCCTGAGGGAAGAAAGTTTAAACAGATAAGCTTTTGATCAAATATTTATGATTATGTTTCTTAAATATCTTTCTGAAACTCTCCATAGTCTAGAAAATAGACTTCACTAGAACACTGTACTTAATATGTCATTTTTCTTTTTAATTTACAAAAGTATTACATGAACCATTTTCTTTAAAGTTGTTTCAAGCAATGTTTAGTCACCTACATGCAGTAAATGCAATTGATTCTCTTTACAGAGATATACACTCCTCCTACTTCTGTGCCCCTTTCCAGATAAAACTCCTAACAGTTTGTTCGAGAGAACTTCCTTGTCTCTTGGGAAGCTCTCTCTACCTCTGATTTTGCTTACATCGTTATAAATAAATAATATGTAAACAAATACTTGGTAATACATTTTGTAAACAAATTTGCTGAGTTTGGTGATTTGACCCTCTCCTTTAAATATATATCTTGGGAAGCTTTCATGTCAATACAGTATTTTTTTAATGTGATATATGTGTGTGTGTGTGTGTGTGTGTGTGAGTATTTATATATAATGCTCTGTAACATAATTTATTTAAGCACTCCCATAAAGATGGCACTAAGTTTGCTTCCATTTTTCAGGTGCTGCTCATCCACATCCTTACCTTTGAGCATAAGCATAAGCCTTTCTGTAGTGTATACTTCAGAAGCAAAATTACTCATCTTAATGGTGTTTATATCATAATTCTGACAGTTGTAGCCATATTCTCTAAAAAAGTAATTAACAGTCCACAACCCCATGAAAGTATATCATTATGTATTTCACTAACAATGGATATTATTCATGTATTTTAATATTTGCCAATCCAATAGAAAATTATTTTAATTGATGCTTCAGTTTGTGTTTTCTCAATTATTAGTGATCTGAAGCATATTTTTACACTTGATTATTTGTATTTTTATATTTTGTGCAATACTATTAAAACCTGAATTATATTGTTTTGTCTTTTTATTGATATTTAGCCTTTTTTATGTATCTACATATATTCTGAAAATCTTTTTCTTTATATGCTATGATTTTTATGTCTTTAACAGGAAAAGTTCTTCAACTTGATGATTATGAAAACACTGTCCAATAATTTTTATTTTCATAAACTTAAACCTTTTTTCTTTTATTTTCTTTCTTTTTGCGGTACGCGGGCCTCTCACTGTTGTGGCCTCTCCCGTTGCGGAGCACAGGCTCCGGATGCGCAGGCTCAGCGGCCATGGCTCACAGGCCCAGCTGCTCCGCGGCATGTGGGATCTTCCCAGACCGGGTCACGAGCCCGTGTCCCCTGCATCGGCAGGCGGACTTTCAACCACTGCACCACCAGGGAAGCCCCCTTTTAAATATAGGCATTTAATCCATCTAGAAATTATATCTTTGGTTGCTGAAGATAGAGAGTACATTATTAGCCAGTTGTCTGAGATACAATTATTGAATATATCATTTTATCAGTAAAATGAAAGAACATTTCATCACATACTAAGAATCCTATGGACCCTATGTTGTGTCATATTGATTTACTTAAATATTTATGAACAAAACAATGTTTTAATTAGGAAAGATTTGTGGTTACCTCATAGGTAACAACTCATTCATTTTGTTCAAAGTTTTCATAGTTATTCATGCTCATTATATCTTCCCAGTGAATTTTAGTATAAGCTGACTGAGTTATTCATAAAATATTTTTGGTTTGTTTATTTTGGTTAGCTTATTTTGAGAAAACTGACTTCTTTACATTAAGAATCTTCCCATCCAGAAACATACATGTCTCTCCATTTGGTTACATTGTCTCTCATGCATTCCGATAGCATTTAATATATAATTCCCATGGGTATGACAGCTCTTATGAGATATCTTCCAAAGTACTTGAGTGATCTGTGTGCTCTAGTAAGTCTTTCCTTGTTTGTTGGTTCTTTCAGTTGTCTATATTTGCACCTCACTTTATGGTGTTTGATTTTTCTCAAAAAATGTGACAGATTTTGGATGTTTGCTCATCTTTTCATTTTACTCTGCATGAAAATCATGATGTTCTATTAAATGAAGTGTCCATAATTTGGTTACTTGGTATCAGATATCTCTTTTATTACTGAAAATATTTATTTGGACATAGATTTTAAATCTTCTTAAAGTGTGTCTTAATGGATAGCTTCATTTTACTTTCATCTGTTTTCTATTCATTTCAATTTTGAATCACATATGATCAAGCACTTTTCATTTACTTTGGAGCTCCTAAAAATACTATAGACAATTTATTATTTTCTCAGGAATAAGTATATTTTTAGAAAGAAGCTCTTTATATTTAATGCTATTTTTGTCTCTTTTGTACTTTGCAGATTCTTTTAGGCTTCATATTCCTGTTGATTATTTTGAAGTGCTGCAAATACGTTTCAGCTTACACTTTCTCATAAATATTGTGGGTGGCTTTTATTTAGATTACTTCAGTTTTTACAGCTGGTATAAGAATCTTATTCCTTTGAGCTGAGATATGAGGATACATTAAATGAATTTTTATTGTCAGTTTAAACAATTAGTATCAAGAAGAGGACTAACCTGGATTCATGAGATATTTTGTAAAGCAATTTTCTCTACATTGAAACTTCATGAGCAGAGGCAAATGTTTCCATATTTGATTATTTTAATGTCTCTTCTATATTCAAAGTATAGGCTAAGATTTTGAGATTCCATTTCTGCTTCTTTTATTGCAGATTCAGGAAAGTGACTAGTTCTCTTAAGATGTACCCCTCTCACAGCAAATGTACATCTGTGTAAGGGTGGATGTGAGACAGTAGTTGGAAGCTGCATAGATGGGAATTTGCCAAAAAGTTTTATCTTTGGTGGACTTAGCAACACCCCTACAGAGCACATCTGCTGCTGTTTTACAAAGTTAACATGATCACAAATGTGCTTTGTTTATCCTAAAGTCTTGTCTTCATCTGTCACATCTAAAAGTAAGTCAGAATGCTCAGCTTTTCAGGAAAGTAGTGTCCTTGATTGGAATAAAGTCATGTGCCAGGACTACATTGTTTAGCGCTTAGCCCTGCTGTTCATTGGCTTAATATTTGTTGTGTTTATGGTTAATTTTTCATTCTTGGTAAGTACCTTGGAAGTTTTCTGATCTACATAAAATTGTCTTCAAGTGGATTCAGGCTATATTTCCTAAGATTCACCTTTTCCTCTACCCCAGCTCTCCAAATAGCAGTCGTTTAAGTTATTTTGCATCAGTTTACTTATTTCCATAGCACACACTTAGGTGTACACACATTCTTTCTTGATTAACACTACCTGATCCCATCTATAATATATTTAGAATATATCAATATATGTGTGTGTGTGTGTGTGTGTGTATTCACATATAGAACAAGATTAAATACAGGGAGATCATGTTAAAAGGACAATAAGTCAACAATGAGATATTGAGTACCTTTTACATACTATGTGCACAGTAAAATAAAGAAGGAAAGAAGGGAGGGAGGGAGGAGAAAGAAAGAAAGAGAGAAAGAAAAAGAAGAAAGAAAGAAAGGGAGAAAAATAAAACAAGAGAGAGAGGGAGGGAGGGAGGGAGTAAGAAAGCGTGTAAAGACATAGATATATAGGTATATAGGCAGATAGAGAAATAGTTGATATCAGGCTGACTGCAAATGGGTATGAAGGATCTTTTAAAGTGATAGAAATGAACAGAATAATTCATTTTGGTGGTATTTTGCACAGCTCTGTAAAGTAGCAAAATAAGCTTAGTATATAATTTAAATGGGTGACTTTTATGGTATGCAAATTATTTCTTAATAAATCTGTTATTAAAAGATCACTTGAAATCTTGCAATAAATATATTAAAAATTAATAAATCTATTCAGTAAACAGAACTTTATTGAGTACACACCTCACACCAAGCATTGTGATAACGATTTTAGACTTGATCAGGAATAAAAGTGGTTATTAAAAGTTTTCAGTCCAAGGCTTCTCTGGTGGCACAGTGGTTGAGAGTCCGCCTGCCGATGCAGGGGACACAGGTTCTTGCCCCGGTCCGGGAAGATCCCACGTGCCGTGGAGCGGCTGGGCCCGTGAGCCACGGCCGCTGAGCCTGCGCTCCGCAACGGGAGAGGCCACAACAGTGAGAGGCCCACATACCGCAAAAAAAAAAAATCAGTCCAGTAGAAGCCTACTATTGAGCCTGTCAAAGGTTTTCCTCATTTCTTTTAGCAATTTGTCTTAATCTAGTACTTCCATTTATCTTTTTCCATCTCACTGGTGAAATCCTTCATATGGTCAGAAAGTTTTGCACCTTTTCCACTAGTGCCTTAACCTATTAGTCACAGTTATTTTAAATTCCCTGGCTGACAGTTCCAGCATCTGGGTCATATCTGAGTCAGGTCCTATTGAATTTTTGTCTATTGATACTAGATTTTTTTTTTCTCCTTGATTTTTTGTCTTTCTGAAAAAGTTTGGCTGAAACACAGATAGTGTGTCTATTTATTCCTTGAAATGAACCTGTATTTTCTTTGCTATGCTTTTGAAGAGTATGAGAGTGGGGATTTGAGTCCATCTCATCAGGAGTTGAGCTGGGTTTGAGTTCTGTTGTTATAATGGCTTCCTACAATGAATCACTGGCTTCAAATTCTTCTAGCATTACCTTGCCCATAGGGTGGGGTCTAATTATCACAGGATTTTTCTTATTGTTCCCTTCACTCTCAGGGTTAGGCTAGTCCTTTGTGTCGGCAGCTCGAGAGGGTCTTTCTTTAACCTCTGACCCCTCTCCTGCAGTAGGGTGCTGTTGCCTGTTTCTGCTTCTAGTCTGGTGGAGGTGGGCAAAGAGGCAGTCTGTTGTCATGGTTCAGCCTCAGGCTTAGGAGGGTCCTGAGTCTCGAAAGAGGGACTTTTTCAGTAATCCTGACCTTCCCTGGTGCTTGGGTATCTCTATGTGCTCAATATGTTGTCCTTTTCTCCACTCAGGGGTAGAGATTATTTTCTTCCTATTCTCTGCTCTATTCCTGGGAGTGATGTTTCTCTTCCCCATGAAAATTAAGACTTTTGACCCATATGCAAGAAGAATACAAATGAGATGTATTACTTTTTTCACTATGGTGTCTATTCTTTTCTTCTAGACTTTCCCATTTGAGAAGCTTTCTCCAATCTTTTATTGTGAATATTCTGTCAGCGTCCATGAATAGGTGCCAATACCACTTTTGCCCGCAGTTTGCTGAGGTTCTATACTCTCATGGTCACCTACACTCAGCTTTTTGGAATTTGTTTTTAAAAATTAGCTGAATTATTACTTGTTGCTTAAATAACAGTCCCTCTCCCTCCCAAGTTCATCTCCATGTGAATCAGTGTTGATGTCTCCAGAGAGATGGAAAAAAAAAATAAATGTAAAGGAATAAAAAGATAGTAAACAATGTCAGTAAACTGAAGTCTATTCAGCAAAGAATGATGAGGATAAAAAGATAACTAAAAATCAAAGTATAAGAGAAACAACAAATTAACTGGGGATGTGTGATATGTGAGAAAATAATTTCAAGAGATGATAGAGAACTCATGTGAATGTAAGGGTTCATTTTGCCCTTGTAGTTCAATGGAACAGAACAAAATATATAAATTTGAAATTGTGAGAATATATATTTTAATTAAATATAAAGAACATTTTTCTAAAAGTGAATTGCACAGTAATTCAAAGGAATGTTTTAGAATTTCATCACAGCATATTAATCAAGATTGGAAAAATGCTTGTTACTGTTAACCTATGGAAAGGAAAGCAGGACTTGAATTTGCTGAGACAATTTTCAAACAAAATAAAAAGTATTAAAGTCTTTATGACTACATGACCAATTAATAGTCTGTGTGTCTCTAATAAAACACTATTTTTTAATAGACCTTATTATATTGTGCAAGTATATTAAAGATAGAGCCTTATCTCCTAAGACAAATCATCTGTGAGTAGTGTTTTTTCCTGTCATTTTAATATACTAGAAGCACAGTGGAATTTCCTGCTGTGGTTTCTTGCAATGCAATTTTAGGATAACCTTTGGTCACTGGAACATCCATCAAAAATAGGACAGACAGTAATTTCTCTCAACTCCAACTCATTAAGTCATCAGTTCTGACTAATTGGATTCTTAAAAAATAGTTTTCTAATGAACATTATATTGACCATGATAGAATATTTATGTAATTACTATTTAATCTAACATGTCACTCATAATTTTCTGTAGCATAATCTATTCTTCTCTTGAATAATGCAACACTTTGAAAACTAAACTAAATGATTCAACTAAATACTATGATTCAGGACGTTATTTACCCCTGAATCTTTTTAGTCAGTGACTGACAGACTCTAGCCCTATGCAATTCAGCATGTACTCTCACAGTGACTTCTGTATTATAAAATCAATATTTTCTATTCAGAATAAGAGTGGTTAACAAAGTTTATCTTGAACAAATTCTCAAATCATACTAGGTAAATTTACTGATAATTTATGGAAGCGCGAATAGCAAACCTAAGTATTCTAGAGCAATGTAAACAATGTGTTAAATTTCCCTTGTAAAATGGACATAGTGCAGATAAAGGACAGAAATCCAGGGCATTTGGGTTTAACAAACATAGGCTCATTAAGTTTTACTATCAGAAGTTTATTGACATCCAGGATAATTTTGCCAAAATAAATAACACACTCAATTGCCCAAATAAGGGTGAAATGACAAATAGTGCCTACATCGCTTCTGGAAATTTTCTTGTGTCAATGCATAATTAGAATTTTTTAAATGGTTACTTATACTAAAAGAGGAGTATCTGAAGTAGCAATCGCCTACTATAGCCAGACACAGAAATCATAAAACAATTTAAGTCTAAACAATTAACTGCATACAGATACTTTATGATTTTGTGGGGGGAGAGTTGGGTAGATTGTTTTTACATTCTAAGTTTTTGTATGTGATAAAAAGAAACTTACTAGAATGATGCTAAGATGGTTCACGGAATCCAAGCAAGAGCTGACAAACCTGAATAGGGCAAAGGTGAAACCCAAGGTCACGTCTTTCATTTTACTAATGGGAGTCAATGCACCTCCCCTATTGGACAGGTATCTGGTGTTAACAGGATGTTAACATTTTACGACTCATGACTCAATGTGGATCAGCTTGAAACAACAACCAAGAGCTGACCACCCTGTGTAGAAGGAGAGCAGTCACAAGAGTCAAGGAACTCAGCATAGATACAGATAATATCAATAGATCCTGAGATGGATCAATTTTAATATATAGAAAGAAGTGCCTAAATACAAGTAATGTGTACATAATTTTATACATATTATCATTAATTAAATATTATTAAAGTGAATACCAGTAATCCACCATGCAGGTAAGAGATTTGATTGTGGCTAGATTCTCCTTTTATTATTGGGGTGTCAAACAGAATCCAAAATAAAGGCCATGCTTTGAATAGACCTCTAGACTATACACTCACAACCAGGTAACTGAAACATAAACTCTCTTGGTTTCCCTGAAATGCTGACTCTGACCTTAACCAAAACTTAAGCTTTCTTCATGTCAGCGTGACCTTCCAGCTTCCTAGTCAATCCAATACAGACAAGTAAGCTGAGTGCTGCCACCCTAAAAGGAACATAAGTTTCTAGTAACCAAACACAAAACTATGTACTGCCTCATTCATGTCTGTAAACTGAGCAGTAACTGCTAAGAGCCAAGCTTCTTAACCACGTTTGGTTTTGAAATCCCCCTGTTCGGGAACAATCTGTTTCTCGCTCAACAGAATATTCATGTCAAGTGAAGCTCTCTGGATTTTCCTTAGAGAGAGGCAACCCTATCCTAAACTGCTTACATAGAGGTTTGCTTGATTTTCCTTTTTTAATTTGCTTCACCGACTACGCATATAACACTAAACAATATACATGTCTGCAGTTTTCATTTTTCTTTTTCTCATCATTACGTTCCTCAGTTCATCAGTATTGGTGTAATAGCTATAGTTCTTTATAATTACTTTTTCCTGTGGCTTTACTAATTTTCACTCCAGCAGAGAGATTCATGTTGCTCTATATCCTGACCAACACTAGATATTATTGGACTTTTTCAACTATTTTCCCTTCTTTTTGCAGAAAAGTTAAAATCTAACCCAGGTTTGTTTGAATTAACTATTTCCCTCAGGGCAAAGCAGTTTCAGAATCCCGGTCCCTCACTTAGCCCTTTTGATTCTCATTCTCCATTATATTTTTGTTTTCTTTCTCAGTTTAATAGTTTCTTAGTATTTTGTCAATTCTTCAATGATTTTAAGTACCTGATATTTCGGAACACCCACTGTCAGATTTTTTAAATTGTATTCATTTGAGGGTTCAGCCAAACTAGTTACCTTGCCATTGCTAGGAATAGAAGTCCGGGCCTTTATTTTTCACCTTTGAACTTGATATAATTGTCAAGTCATATAAGTAACTGTATACTTTTTTTGAATCTTCTATTTCATATGTATGGCAAGTGTCTTATAAATCTCTCCTACATTATTTTTTATAAGAGCCTTGTTGGGATGCAATTCACACACCATAAAATTCACCAATTTAAAGCATGTAGTTCAATTGTTTTTATATATTCATAGAATTGTGCCATTTTTACCACTATTTCAAATATTTTAGAATATTTTCATCAAACCCCTCCCCCCATATTTTTAAATCTTCATGGCCATTTACAATCCTAATTCCCCTCTGCCCTTAGCCCCTGGCAACCACTAATTTAACTGCTATTTCTACAGATTTGCCTATACTGGATATTTAATATAAAAGGAATAGTACATTATGTGATCTTTTGTTTCTGGTTTCTTTCATTTTGCAAAATGACTTCAAGATTTATCCGTGTTGTAGCATGTGTCAGTACTTCTTTTTACTGCTGAGTAATACTTCAGTGTATGGCTGTAACATGTTGCATTTAAACATTCATCAGTTGATGGCCATTGTCTTTCCCCCACTGTTTGGGTATTTTAAATAATGGTGCTATAAACATCATGCACTAGTTTCTTAACACAGGCTGACATTGTTTCTTAAACTCTGATACCATAGAAGTCTATAGACGTTTACAATTTAATATTCGATAATTTCCCTTTCTTAGGCACTCTTTGAACCAGAAATGCTCTTTCACATCTTTACATTTCCAAACACATTATTTTCCAGGCAAATGATGTGATTTTAGTAACTGTTTAAAAATGCTCTATTAAGATGAGTTGCCCTTTCTTACTGTCTGCTACACTCTTTTTCTTTCTTCGTGTTTTTTAATTTATTTAGTTTTTATACTGCAGGTTCTTATTACTCATCAATTTTATACACATCAGTTTATACATGTCAATCCCAATCGCCCAATTCATCACACCACCACCCCCCACCCTCCCACAGCTTTCCCCCCTTGGTGTCCATACATTTGTTCCCTACATCTGTGTCTCTATTTATGCCCTGAAAACCAGTTCATCTGTACCATTTTTCTAGGTTCCACATATATGCGTTAATATACGATATTTGTTTTTCTCTTTCTGACTTACTTCACTCAGTATGACAGTCTCTAGGTCCATCCATGTCTCAACAAATGACCCAATTTCCTTCCCTTTTATGGCTGAGTAATATTCCATTGTATATATGTACCCCAACTTCTTTATCCTTTCGTCTGTCGATGGGCATTTACGTTGCTTCCATGGCCTGGCTGTTGTAAACAGTGCTGCAATGAACATTGGGGTGCATGTATATTTTTGAATTATGGTATTCTCTGGGTATATGCCCAGTAGTGGGATTGCTGGGTCATATGGCAATTCTATTTTTAGTTTTTTAAGGAACCTCCATACTGTTCTCCATAGTGGCTGTATCAATTTACATTCCCACCAACAGTGCAAGAGGGTTCCCTTTTCTCCACACCCTCTCCAGCATTTGTTGTTTGTAGATTTTCTGATGATGCCCATCCTAACTGGTGTGAGGTGATACCGCATTGTAGGTTTGATTTGCATTTCTCTAATAATTAGTGATGTTGAGCAGCTTTTCATGTGCTTCGTGGCCATCTGTATGTCTTCTTTGGAGAAATGGCTATTTAGGTCTTCTGCCCATTTTTGGATTGCGTTGTTTGTTTTTTTTAATATTGAGCTGCATGAGCTGTTTATATATTTTGGAGATAAATCCTTTGTACGTTGATCATTTGCAAATATTTTCTGCCATTCCAAAGGTTATCTTTTCATCTTGTTTGTAGTTTCCTTTCCTTTGCAAAAGCTTTTAAGTTTCATTAGGTCCCATTTGTTTATTTTTCTTTTTATTTCCATTTCTCTAGGAGGTGGGTCAAAAACAATCTTGCTGTGATTTATGTCAGAGTGTCCTTCCTATGTTTCCCTCTAAGAGTTTTATAGTTTTATAGTGTCCGGTCTTACATTTAGGTCTCTAATACATTTTGAGTTTATTTTTGGTTAGGAAGGGTTCTAATTTCATTCTTTTATATGTAGCTGCCCAGTTTTCCCAGCACCATTTATTGAAGAGACTCTTTTCTCCATTGCATATCCTTGCCTCCTTTGTCATAGATTAGTTGACCAGAGGTGCTTGGGTTTATCTCTGGGCTTTCTATCCTGTTCCATTGATCTATATTTCTGTGTTTGTACTAGGGGCATACTGTATTGATTACTATAGCTTTGTGGTATAGTCTGAAGTCAGGAAACCTGACTCCTCCAGCTCTGTTTTTTTCCCTCAAGACTCCTTTGGCTATTCCAGGTCTTTTGTGGCTCCATACAAATTTTATGATTTTTTGTTCTAGTTCTGTAAAAAGTGCTACTGGTAATTTGACAGGGATCGCACTGAATCTGTAGATTGCTTTGGGTAGTACAGTCATTTTCACAATATTGATTTTCCAAACTAAGAAAATGGTATATCTCTCCATCTGTTGGTATCATCTTTAATTTGTTTCAACAGTGTCTTGCAGTTTTCGGCATACAGGTCTTTTTTCTCCCTAGGTAGGTTAATTCCTAGGTATTTTATTCTTTTTGTTGCAATGGTAAATGAGAGTGTTTCCATAATTTCTCTTTCAGATTTTTCATCATCAATGTATAGGAATGCAAGAGATTTCTGTGCACTAATTTTGTATCCTGTGACTTTACCAAGTTTATTGATTAGCTATAGTAGTTTTCTGGTGGCATCTTTAGGATTCTCTATGTATAGTATCATGTCATCTGCAAACAGTGACAGTTTTACTTCTTCTTTTACAATTTTTATTTCTTTTATTTTTCTTCTGATTGTCATGGCTAGGACTTCCAAAACCATGTTGAATAATAGCGGTGAGAATGGACATCCTTGTCTTCTTCCTGATCTTAGAGGAAATGCTTTCAGTTTTTCACCATTGAGAATGCTGTTTGTTGTGGGTTTGTCAAATATGGCCTTTATTATGTTGAGGTACGTTCCCTCTGTGCCCCGTTTCTGGAGAGCTTTTATCGTAAACGTGTGTTGAATTTTGTCAAAAGCTTTTTCTGCATCTATTGAGATCATCTGGTTTTTCTTGTTCAATTTGTTAATGTGGTGTATCACATCGATTGATTTGCGTGAATGGAAGAATCCTTGCATCCCTGGGATAAATCCCACTTGATCATGGTGTATGATCCTTTTAAAGTGTTTTTGGATTCTGTTTGCTACTATTTTGTTGAGGATTTTTTGCATCTATATTCATCAGTGATATTGATCTGTGATTTTCTTTTTTTGTAGTATCTTTGTCTCATTTTGATATCGGGGTGATGGTGGCCTCATAGAATGAGTTTGGGAGTGTTCCTTCCTCTGCCATTCTTTGGAAGAGTTTGAGAAGGATGGGTGTTGGCTCTTCTCTAAAGTTTTGATACAATTCACCTGTGAAGCCATCTGGTCCTGGACTTTTGCTTGTGGGAAGATTTTTAATCACAATTTCCATTTCATGACTTGTGATTGGTCTGTTCATATTTTCTGTTTCTTCCTGGTTCAGTCTTGGAATGTTATACCTTTCTAAGAATTTGTCCATTT